CCTAGTCTAAAATCGGTTCTTTTTTGCAGCGTTTCACTGTATCACCTGCATTTTCCGCCAAAGGATTTTAATGCTTGAAAAGCTAGCATGTTTCATATCAAATCCACGGATGGCAGGGATCTGTTTTCTGACATTGATTCGGCTCAAATGAAAACAGTTTCGATGAGATAGGGAAATCGCAAATATACCATTGTGGCCAATAAACAATACGGGCAGCGGCTAAATATAGACTGCCACAGTTCAACGAACCAGAAGTAAAGGTAGTTTTCCGGAAAGGAAAAACATGGAAAATGTGTAAACGGAAAGGGGGAAAAAAGTACAAACCAAGCGATCTGGTGATGATCTATGTTTGGTACAAACGTGTCATAACAGCAAACAGAAACCAACGAACCATAAAACGAACAACAGGCCAGGCACTTTGATATGGGGCTCCCTAACCCCTGAACCCCCCACCCCCCTTGACTTTAACCCCTCACCCCCTTGACTCCAACATCCCCTCCACCGCCATTTGTTGACATAATTGTTATCGCCGCTGCACAAATTGTTCGTGTTTGACAAGTAGTTTTCAACAATTTTTGATAAAAAAAAGAGCTGAAATTATTATGTGTGACATGCAGTCCGAGAAACGACCCCCCGACCCCCGACCCCCAATTTAACACCCCCTCTGCTGCGTGGATAGGAAGCCCCTGGCGACCGCGACGGATGTTTGTTATTTGGTTTGCACTGCAGTCGTTGCACGTTCATAAATTTATTAGAGAATTTATGGCTCTGGGCAATCGTTTGGACTATTTGTTGCGACCTGCGAGGAGAAATTAAATTGATGTTCAATCAAGGCCGTAAATTATACTCAAAATATACAAACGTTTTGGGGAGATTATATATATTTCATTAGATAAATATTTCAGTTGACATCGGCTGAAACTTCGGTTCGATAGAAAACTCTAAAGGGGTTTGATTTTTACCATTTACAAAATCATGGGTTTTTTAAATTTGTTTGAATTCAAAAGTGTTCTTATCAAAATACTAAACAAATTTATACTAATAATTTACGGCTCTTCAAAAAAAATTCAATTTTTTAAAAGTTTGATTGTTCCAAAAATTGCTCTAAATTTCAGTGTTGAATGCCAATCGATTGGAAACTGCATTGCAAACTCAACGAGGTATTACATTCCATATTCCGACCTTTATTTCCATTGTTGTTTTGCCAAAACTATGATTTTTTGTGTAAAAATATGAATTTGAAATCGGACTTCTTTCACAAGCACAAAATACGAAATACTACCGAACAGTTAGTAATTTTCATTTGATTTAATCAATCTTAATATGGTTAGACAATAGAGATAAATGTGTGTACCTGCAAATGATTCTATCTGCTTTGTAATTAAATTATTTTTAACACAAAGCCTGTCAAAATATTTCGGCAACCGAAGCAGGGATCTATTTTAATTACAGCAGTCAGAGGCAAACTTGCAGACAATTTGATAGGAACGGAATTCTGTTGGGCTCTCGGCTTCATTATTATCAACACGTTTGCAGTAAATTGTGCAAATTGAAAACGCATACAAGTGGCATATGCCACAGGGAATGCCTCTGTGGGGAGTGAAGTGAAGCGGGGGAGCGAGGAAGGGGGATTGGGGGGATTGCGGTGGAGTAAGGACACTCGAAATATGTCAAGGTATGCAAAATCCACTCCCAAAGCCAAGTGTTTTGCGGGCTAAGCGCTTTCTTGGCTGGCAGCCAACTTGGCTAATGCCAAAAGACAAGTAACCACAGAGCCAGAGCCTATCTCAATGGATATATATATGGTCTAAATATGTGCGTGTGGCAGTCAACTCGTGTGTGTGTGTGTGTAATCCACCCGCACTCCCCCTTTTTTGCAGTGAAGACAATTACAGTAAACAAATTCGCACACGTCGTCAGTTGCATTTGCGGTGACAGGCTGGAAAACAAGGCCTGAAAATATAGAGAGCGAGACAGTAGCACAGTAGCTGGAAGTGGATTGGGAAGGGGGGAGTTGGGTGGCAAGGGGGGTAGCAACGGGGAGTAATGGGGCCACTGGTCCCCTTCCCTCGTCTTCCCCGCCCCTTCCTCCTTTTGCGGTCAGGGCCGTTCCTTGGTATTTTTGGCAGAGCGTTTTCTGGCCATGCATGAGATTTGCATTTTTACACCCCTCCCAGTTGCCTTTGAAGCACTGTGAGAAAAATTGTTCAATAATAACACACCAAAACAAATATATAACAAATTGTTACAAAACGTTTAAAACATAAATAAAGTAAACTTTAACAAGAGCTTTTAACCCTTTCATGCCCAAATTAAATTGGGGACACGTAGAAAATATTTAACGCCATAAATGATCAATAGGAGCCCCAAGTAATGTTCATTACTGCGATGTTGCCTATAGGCAACATATGTCCATCCATATATATAAATAAGTACGTACGTATGAGTAATATTACCTTTACAAGAAAATACAATTCTGAGATTTTTATTAACAATAACTATATAAATATCAACTGCTTAACAAAAATTTGAAGTACACGTGTAGGCACTTTTTACTATATTGACAGTATAAAGATTAGCATAATTAATGAGTAAGAAGAATACTTCTAATTAATATATTTTTTTTATTTTAATTCCCGAAAAATAAATAGATTTTTTTGCTAGTAAAAGAAGATGCAAAGTTTTTCTTCTCCCGTTTTCTTTGAAGGGGAATGTTGCTTCTTTATTTCTGGCTTTTATTTTCTGTCAGTGTTGATACATCTCTCTATTCTCGGAGCTTCCCAGATCTCCACTTCAGCCGTCTCCGCTTTGGGCCTCCCTGCACGTTCCCTTTGCAATTTGGCAGTTGGTTGCCAGAAACAGTTTGCCATAGCATACTTTTCTGGGCCACGTCATGATATATGTATGCATGCAGCTCCTGTTGGTTTCCGCGTCTCTGTGTGTGTGTGTGTGTGTAAGTGCGTCTTTGCATGTGTGTATGCATGCACGTTGCAGCAATTGAATTGAATTTCTGCTGCTCGAGTTTTGAGCTCTTGAGCCACAGAAAAGAGTTGAAGGCGGAGCGTTCAGAAGCGAAGAATTCCAACATTGTCGGGGCAGGTTTAACTTGAACTGGCTTCCCTTTTTCACTTTTCCTCCGTTTTTCCTTATCTTTTTCCTTTTGCCCCAGCCATTTCTTCTTTTTTTATTTTGGTTTCCCCCAGACAGAGTGACTCGCTGACTGAGTGACGCCCGGGTTTCTGGCCAACTGCCATGCGGGAAGTGCTCCTTGGAAACCCTGAAACTCTGCCCCGATTTATGGCCAAGCAGTTGCAAAAACGCATAAACACATCATGGCCAAGGGAGCCTGAATGGCAGCCCCTAATCGATAAGTTATACAATGCAATCGCAAGGAGAAGAAGGGGAAGCCAAATCCTTTGGCTCCACTCGAGGAACCCAAACAGCTCGCCAATCGATGGCACATAACTAAAATCTGTTTGGCTTTCGTCTCTGTCGAGTTTTGATTGACTGACAGCAGGTCAATTTCGACTGGGAGGGGGATAGATATCATCTGTCCGATGGCTTTGAGCCAAGTCTGTTGTCAATTTCCATTTCGTTTTCCAGGCAAACAAAAAAAAAGAGAAATATGTGTCACGGCCCCCATCGGTTAACTGCAACTATTGATGTTTGCCATTAGTTAACCCAAAATAGATGCTGACTGCATTGGAATTTGTCTCTGCTTTTGTCAAACTCATTTCGCTAGCTAATTTTACGACAGCAACATATGGCCACCGAATCGGGCCACTCAGCGATATGCATATGAGAGATTGTTGACATCGTGTAAAAGCCATTAATTTAAATTATAAACTATAAAGTCGCAGGGGCAGACGACCATAAAAGTCGTTTCTGTTTCTGTTTCTGTTGTTGTCATTGCAGTTGTCATAAAAAGCCTGTCACACGATTTGTTTCTCCACTAATTTATGACAAAAGGCGATTGGAGGGGGAATTCCCCCCATTAACACATATGTTTTGTTGGGCTTTTAAAGCACCCGTTTTGTAAATCAGGACAAGTATCTTAGAGATACCCAATGGAAAACAATTCCTTTTCAATAAGCCCTGGCAATCAAGTCCCTTTTGTCCACGAATTTATTGTCCTAGCTTGAGATTTCTTCTTTCTCAGTTTCTTTCATTAGGCACTTTTTTCTGGGGCACAACGATTAGTCAGTTGAAAATCGTTTTAGCCCACTTTTTCCCCCATTTTCATTGTCATTGGTCTCGTGAAAAAACAATCATCGCCTGCTGCGAGTTTTATAGTCCAACATGAACTAAACTGCTTGGATTGTGTCGTTTTGTCAGCTTGAAAAAAATTGCAATTATGAGCCATTTAAAAGTTATTAACGCGACCGCCGTGATGAAACGTGCTGGCCAACTGGGTTCCTACTTCTGGCTGTGCATTTAGATATTGTAAATTGGCAAACCCACGCCGCGAATCGGAAACTATGGCCACTTTGTTGCTGCAGCCGAGAGCTGGCCAACACGCCCACTGCCGTTTTAAAGCCATAAACAATTAAGCGAGACAACCCACACGCCCACACACAGACAGTCGGCAGAGCTATGGGTAAATATTTGATTTGTGCGATAATTCGAAAATGATATAGGCGCAGCAGGCGTTTCATAATGATGCAATAGAAGATGAGCTGGCTAAAAGGGGTTTATTACTTCTCAACTCAGAGATCAAATGTGTTTATCTTTAAATTTACATTAAATGATGTCTTTGGTTTAATATAAAATGCTTCAACATCGATTTATTTCCCAAATGTTTAAATACCATAAATTAAACTTAAAGGAAATCAACTTCTATTCTCTCCTAATTAAACTGTTTGTCTATTAAATATTATTATAATAATATCGCATTTATAAGCCATTAGATTCTATTCCCTGAGCTCTTTAAGTAGCTTATTAAATTCTAAAATCCGAGTTGCTAATCCTTACTAATCCTCCGAATTCTTTTTAATTTCCAGGAGCCATTTGCGGTGGAAACTGCTGCAACAATGCCACGGAGCTGCAGCTGCGGGACAAGGCAGCCGGAATGTTCGAGCAACTGCTGCACCACCACACCAGCAGTCTGCGCGGAGTCCTCGAGACGAATGCCAAGCAATTCCAAAGTGAGTACGATGGGCAGATAGATAGATCCCTTTGGGGGACACAAAGGATTAGTGGGGATTTGTAGGAAGGCTCAAAGTGAAATCGAAAGCAGGCAAAATGCCTTTCTATGCAAATCCCTGGCCCAAAGAGTCTGGAAAGTTGGCCGGGCTTTTTGCGGGAGTTAGACCAAAGTATATTTTCGTGGCAATAAATAATTTATCATATGCAAATTCGCGCGCTGCGCAGAATTATGACGATAAAAAGTTCGCCTCGCAATCTGCAAAAGTGAGCTAACCAAATTAAACTTGAAACGCGAAATGCGAAATTGATTTGTAATTTGAATTTGTATGCAGATCAAAGCGACTGTATAATGAACTGAAATGAAAATATACCTTAAGTATATAAGGATTCATAACCATAACCGAACCGAACCGACTTTTTTAAAATGCAGCAAACGCGACTCTGACTGCATCTAATTAAAAAGGCATTAAATAATGTTGTAGCCTTTACTGTTGTTGTTGTTTTTATTGTTGTTGTTGTGGCCGCTGTCCCTTTTTAGACAATTTTGCAAACTTTGTCTGGGTCACGTTTTGGGGGCTGACACGCCTCCACGCTCCTCCGCCCCTTTTGTGCAGCCCCTTTCACACAATGCCTGCAAATTGTTGTCGTACATGCTGTAAATCTCGCTTCACTTTAAGGCCAGTTTTTGGGGTGATGTTGCTGTTGCTGTTGCTCCTGATGTTGTTGCTGCTGTTGTAGTTGCTGCTGCTGCCTCATTGTTGTTCTCGGCGGTCTGAGTCTGCAGTTCTTGGAAATGGGCGCCCGTTCGAAGAGACTTTGAGCACGCCCTCCTCGTTGTGAATGCCCACACATATTCGCATTCGGATATATACTGCACGTTTGTGCCGATCCGCAATTTTTATAAATACACTTTGGCGAATTTGTTTGCATTTTGTGTGTTGTCATCAGCTTAATTTATGCGAACCCCATTGATTCATTCGGATGGGGCTCATTAAATTTTGAGGCTTCCTTTCAGCAATATGACTGTAGAAAACCAGTGATCATTAAATAATTTTGGGATGAGATAACGCGTCTGGGGTTTTAAATTAATCAATTTGCTAATGGGCACTTGGGCAAATTATTATTCAAGGAAATCACAGAATAAAATTAATAAAATAAATACGTTTAAGTACTTGACCTCCAATAAAAATATAAATCAACCTCATTGTTCTTCAAAAAGCTCATCTGATTGAAACTCATAATTTTAAAATAATATATATTAATTTTATTATCGTTTGTAAAACGATTAATTGAACTGATTATCCTTCATTTCTTTTTTGATTTCCTGTTAAATTTGCTTTTAATGCACTCGATTATAGAGTGTTTCGCAAACAATTATCATTCAATTTGCATTGAAGAATTCAGCACACAATGATGTCACACAAGGCAAACACTGATAGTCCCGCGTTTATTAGATAAACAAAACAGGCAAAAAATTAAAATGCAACCGGCAAAGTCATTTGGCCTAACAATCGAATAATGAAACAAATTATAATATTTAAAACCAATTGCGGCAGCAATTTATTTGCTTTTACGAGCCGGGCTGAAAAGTAAGGAAAATAAATAAAAGTCAGCGAACGATTGATGAATGAATGGGGTGCAGCTGAATGCCAGTAAGATTTATGAAACAGTTGGCTAATTGATTCAGAATATAATATATAGGCCTGACAACTGGCGGATCGGGGGTAACTGATGGCTAATGGGAGACTGAAGTGTTTGCTTGTCTGGCGCTGATAACGGGTTGCTGCTTCTTGGCCAAAACTTCTGGCCCAAATGGCGTACTTGTGCTTATCGGCGAGTCGTTGCGTTGGCACGCGTTTCCCTTCGCTGCACCAGAGTGGCCATAAAAATTGATTTACTTTCTTTGGAGCACACCCGGCGTATGCGTGATGTTCTCCGCTGGGAAAAGAAAGAGAAGAGGGCCCTTCTCCTCAGTCCCCGAAAAATGCGCAACTATAAAACTTTATGCATTTCTTGGCAATCGCTGGTGTTATTGCTCTTTCTCCTGCTGCTCTCTAACGCATAAAATATTATGGTATGCGAAATAAATGCATATTTCTATTTTGTAGCATAAACTTGCCAACTACAACAGCTTGTGGCATATGCAATACAAGCCGGGGCTTCCTTCCTGTTCGAAAAATTCCCCTCCCTCTTTTCAACCCCCCTCCCATCCTCTTCCGGTTGGAGCTCATCCGCCCCCAAGTGCCACGCCCCTTCCGTTTCCGCGCCCTTTGTTGCGTCTCTTGCCCTCTCGCTCGCACTTTGCCTTTGTGGGTTGAATGCTTTGTTCGGCGTATTATTTTTAAGCAAGTATTTGCGTGTTTGAACACGTTTCGCAGCTTACGAATTATATGGGCCCGGGCCCCCGAATAACCCCAATCCGCAGATCTCGGCGATCCCCAGTTCCCCAGATGCCCCGCCGCCAACGCAATGCGTTTCCATTGCACTTACCACGTAGCCACCACCAACATCATCATCATCATCGTCGTCATCGTCCTCGATGCTGCTACTTTCATTTCGCTGGTGCAGTGAAAGAAAAACTTCTCAATACTTACATTTGGTGAAGATAATAAATGTTATTAAAAATAATTTTTTTAAGTATTTTTGCACTTGGTTTAGCACTTCCCACTTTCTTAAATTTAAGTTAAAAAATTATTTGTGTCAATAAAATATTAAATTGTTTAAATCATTAACTCCAATAATTTTATAGAGTCCCCAAAGAATTTTCTTAGACTGGACTAACTTATTATTTACTTGAGTTAATGTAGCACAGAAAATAAATATAAACTTTTTGTATTTGCAGACTAACTGACGCTTTACCCATGTCAAGAATTGCTCTTTTAATTTAATTTTTAAATATTTTAAAGTTTTTTTTCCTAATCAAGATAATTTAACTTTCTTTTTTCTCACTGCTTATTGTCATTGTCGTCTTGGCGTGTTGCTCACGCGCTTAATGCGTTTGGCTGGAAAACATTTCCACTCCCCCCGACACCTGGTCACACCCCTTCCCCCTCCCCTTCCTGCCCCCTTAACCCCCTTTCTGGGGGCCAGGGGCGTGCGCCAGCATAAAAGTTCCAAATGCTGACTTACTGCTCTGCCAGCACAACTTTTGCCCCTTTAAACAAAACAAAAACAAACAGCAACAAAAAAAAAGAAAAAAAAGAGAGCGGGGAACTGCAGAAATTATTTCTTTATTTTTGTGGCTGCAACGGCAGCTGCAGCAGCAATGCGTGCACTTTCATAAGTTGCAACTAGCAACTTTCCCCGACCGCTCCCCCTTCCAGCTTCAAGTTGGCCCAGGCTTAAGTCTTTTCGGCCATATCTTGTGCTTTGCCTGGCTGCCTTCTTGTCTTTACGGCTAAAGTGGTTTTTTGGCCGCCATCGCTTGTTAGCCGGCTTTTGTTTGTCTTGTCACATTCTGCCGTTGCAGGCTGTGCGAGTTTGTTTGCCAGTGCCAGTGCCACTGCCTCGGCCCCAAGTTGTTGCACTGGCAGGTCCAAAGTTTCCTGTTGTTGTCATTAGGTTTTAGTATGATTGAGGTGCCTCAGTTGGGTGTGGGTGTGGCAATCCCTAGTTAGGCTCTGACACAAAAAAAAGAATTATTTAAGTCTATCAAGAGAACAAATGCTGTTAATTTATTAAACTACCTGAAATAGTTTTGTGTATAATCTGCCACTTCAAACTAAATTTTTCAGAGAATGCTTATAAGAAAATATACGCCTTTTACCTTATAAACATTTTATATTGTATAATATGCCATCCATTTTTTTTGCACAAGAAATAAGAATGACTCAGATAAAACTTAACTGAATCCTAAAACCTAAATAATAAATAAATCGTCTCGATTCCTAAGTGTTATTTTTTTAAACCAAACTCGTTCTTCGGCGTTCTTTTTTCTTTCATGTTTACGTTTCAAATTTTTTTTTGGAGGCGATCTTCGGACTCCAGCTTCGATTTCTCAATGAATTTGAGGGGAAACTGAAGTTCAGAGCCAACGAACACGAACACCTGCAGATCGTTTGGGCCAAGAAAACGCCCCCGACTAAAACCAGTTGTCAATTTAGTTGACTAAGAAGATCTATAATTATTTGCTTGCTTCACTAATGCCGAATTACTAATGGAGCCGTCTTTTCATTAATTAGCAGAGCCTTAAATAAAAATAAACAGATAAAAACAAAAGCGATGCCATTTTGTCTGGCAGTTGCGTTCCAATATCGCCATTTGTGTGCATATATAATTACCATAATTAGTTGCTTGGCAAATTAAGCGCTGAAAGCTCGCGCTTGTAATTAACGCGCCACCAAAAACGGAAGGCAACTCGATACCTCGTTTGGCAACAAGAGGCAGCTTGGGGATGGGGTTGCAACTGGGAGACTCAGAGACTCAGAGACTCGGAGACAGAGACGTGGCAGATCAAATAACTCCAATGCCCCGGCCAATTGATGCATATGCTTTGAAGCATTTCAATATGTCAGAGCGGAGCTAAGCCGAAAAAAGGTCCTCCACTTCGGGGGGAGCCTTACCTCCTTTATTGCCCCCTCCCCCCCATCCCACCAACTCGATTCCAACAATGAAAAGTCATCCAATTACTTTGACATTGTGGAGCCCCTCCGGATCGGATCGGATGGCTTGCCATGGATTGCGAATGGGATGAGATGAGGCTGCCTGCCAAGAGCAGATTGCCCCAGGGCTCCCAGCTGTTGGAGCTGTTGGAGTGGCGAGTTGGATAGCTGGATAGCTGGATAGCAGGATGGTTGGATGGTTGGGTACTTCGCCAAAAAGGGGCGTGCCAAGTTGGCACGCCTGCAGAAAGCTAGTTACAATACATGCACTTAAGCTGCCTGCCACGCACAGTGGGCTGCAGCTCCAGATGGTGAAGTTCGGGGCTCAGAGTACTCAAGTTGGTAAGCTTATCTCAGGGTGAAGAGATTAAGGCGGTTGATACGAGGAAAATTAAATG